TTCTATACATATTCTTATCATAGCACTTATCACATCCTATTCTCTATTATACGGATGACTCCCAAATTTGTATCTCTAGACTAGACCTTTCTCCTGAGCTTCATATGTAAAACTTCATTTCAATGTCCTATACATACCTCAAACTGATTATGTCTAGGATTCAATCTCTAATAGCTTCTTCTACTATATTTCCTATCATAAATAGTGGTATCGATATCTGCTCAACTGTTGAAGTTATTGGTGAATTATTCTTGATTTTCCTCTTTTCTCTGCAATCCTTTTAAAAAGCAAGTCAGGGGTGCCTGGGTGGCTCAGTCGGTTAAGTGGGCTGACTTTGGCTCAGGTCATGATCTCGAGTCTGTGAGTTCAAGCCCTGCGTCGGGCTCTGTCCTGGCAGCTCAGAGCCTGGAGCCTGCTTCAGATTCTGTGTCTTCCTCTCTCTGCCCTTCCGCTGCTCATGCTCTCTCTCTCTCTGTCTCAAAAATAAATAAAAAAACATTAAAAAAATTTTTTTAAAAAAGCAAGTCAGATATCTGTCTTTGTTTAAAACCTTTCTATGTTTTCCATGGATTGCTCTTATAATAAAAATCCTTATGATAGCCTGTAAGACTTATTAAGTTGCTTATTTATCTCTAACCACCACTTTCCACTTCTCACCTTATTGTTTTTCTCAAGGCAGCCATAGTAAGTAAACATCTAGATTTTTGAACTTGTCGTGCTTCCTCTTTTCATGATTTTCTATATTATACTGTTCCTGTCCATGCTTATCTACTTCATACGTCCTTTGCTCAATCTGCTTCCACTGATCCTCTGATCTCAGCTTAAATTCACTTTCACCAGGAAGCCTGCCTTGATAATTCCCTTGTCCAACCTGTCTGTGTAAGGATCTCCTCTGTCATCACCTCCAAATGACCTGTATTTTTTCCTTTCCCAGCACTATCCCATTGTTATACTGTAAACTTCATAAAGGCAGGGACTGTGTTGAATTTTTCCACCCAGTGAATCCCTTATGCCTGTTTTAATTTATATTTCCTGTTCACTGTGATGATCAGCATCTTTTCATGTGCTTATTCGCCATTTATGTATCTTCCTTTGTGAAGCATATGTTCAAATTGCCCATTTTAAATTGAGATGTTTATCTTATTGAGTTGTAAAAGTTCTTTATATCTTCAGGATACAAATCCTTTGTCAGCTATGCATATTACAAATATTTTCTTCTGTCTGTGGGTTGTATTTTCATTTCCTTAACAGTATCTTCCAAAACATTTTTAATTCATTAAATTCCTTCTTTATAATATTTTTCTTTTAAAATGATTTTTGCTTTTTGTATCCTAGGGAATTTTTGTCTAATTCAAAGTGATGAAGATTTTATACTTTGTTTTGTTCTAGAATTTTTATTGTTCTTTTATACTTAGATCAATCATACATCTCAGGTCAATTATTCTATATGTGAGGTAAGAGTTAAAATTATTATTATTATCTTTTTCCATATAGATACTCAGTTGTTTCAGCACCATATGTTGAAAAGACTATTCTTTTTCCATTGGATAACTTTGGCATCCTTATGAAAATCAATTGACCAAGCATATGTGGATCTTTTTCTGGACTCAATAACCATAGCTCATGAGATCATTGAGTAGCCTTTTCAACCTAATATATAATGTAGAAGAAGAACCTTTTGGAAAGAACATAAGATTTCAACAGAGACTGAGAAGAGACAAGGAAGATAATAATCTTACAACTAGCTATCTCCTCTCTCTTTACTCATTCTCCGCTCAGAATAACTCACCTACCACACAGGATTAGTCACTTCCAGGAAGACAGAAGTAGGTTATTCAGGTCACAAAAGCCACTTAACCACATAAGTGTGACTCCTCTATTAGATTTTCTTTGGAAGTTGTAGATAGCAAGTGAAAGTCAGGACAGGTGCATATTATGATTTTTACTTTCTCAGTCTGTTTCTTAGCCCTGCTTAAGTCTCCAGTTATATGCATATAGCTATCATTACATTAGAAAATTTTCATTTAAGCTCAGTAGATAAGTATAGATGAAACCATCATAAGAAAAAAAACCTAATCAGGGTAATTCACATTCATGGTAACTACTAAAGCGGAGAGTGAATGCATATCAAGAATAATAATACAAGACTAATTGATCTATACGGATAAAAGGGATAAAACGAATCCATATTTACACTTACATTGGTTCCACATCCTATGCTATTTTAATTCACAGCTTACTTTGAAATGTCTTTGAAAGGTATTGTTTGTTCAATGAATACATTTAAAAATAGTACCTTGACTGAACCCTGGGGTCCCCTAGCAGATTTCAGAGCAGATAGAAGAGTTTTAGCATTTTGAATAACTCCTAAATTTTCAAGTAAACATTGCTCTTCTATAAGATACTTCTGTCAGGAAGCCTCATGTTGTGTTAGATGAAAGCATCTTTTTGTCTTGGTGGCTGTCTCCTGTATTAACCATTTCTTTAAGGCATTGCTAATAGAAGTTCAAGATGCACTTCCTGAGATTCACTGTGTGTTGGGTCATCCTAAGAGTAAGAATCACCCTGTAGGTATATCTGAACATTACTTGCACATATAATGTAATGACAATTTTTATATTTGAATCATTTCCTTATACTTCTTTTACTTCCGTATCATATGCAACATTCTCATTTGCATCATTTTTGTGGCCATTAACTTATTTTGGGTTATCTTGGTTATTTGGAATTTTGATTTATTCTTCTATTTTTTGGTAAACTTCATAAAGATAAGTACTACAGCCTACTCATCTCTGTATTCTCCAAAGCACTAATGAAGCACCATGCATTTGGTTATATTCAATGTATATTTGTGTAGTATTAATAAATACCAGGACTAATTCTATAGTTATATACTAATCATATTATGAAGCTTCCAGTCTACTTACATTGCCAGGAACACAATTAAGCTCATGGCCCATCCAATTCTCAATAATGAGAAGACAGGTTCGACAGTGTGGGATGATTAAAATGTTTAATGTTCAATTAGTCTTCTTGGATTAGGTCTAGTAAAGAAAAAGATAGGTAATTTAAAGTTATATTATAGAGAATATTATTTTACAAAAACCTTAAGAGGGCAATTTGAAAAGGGCATTGATTGCTCAAAACATAAAATATCCAAGGCACCATTTTTGAAACTACAAAGACCAGATAAAAGGATTATAAATATACTGAAAGTGAGTGATACAGACTAGAAACCTGAAAAATGTGGCAAAACTCGGTATGAAGAATTTATTTAATCTAGCAGAAATAGGAAAAGGTGGACAATATAAATGACTCTTAAATCTACAGTGACATCTATTATCATAAATTACCAACATGAGGAATGCCATGATATCAAAAGTAATTTTCTTGAGTCATTACATTTCAAAGACATAGCACAATAGCAAGTATATAAAAATATGAATGTGTGAAATGTGAACAATTTCCCCCACTGGGAAGCGAAGGAAGTTACAGGTCTTTGTGAAGCATTTCAAGAATGAAGTCAGCAATAAACAGTGGTAGAGTTGGGGTTGGGGGTTGTGGCGTGTACTTGTGGGCACCTACCAGCAAAGTTTAGGAACATGAATTTGGTGACATTTGCCATTATTAGAAATAACTTGTTTTAAGAGATGGTATGTGAATATGCTGCTGCTAAGGCAAGGAGCCCCCATAGCACAACCATTTTAGGCTAATTTTTTTAAGAGCGCTCATGTCAAATCTTGCTTTCCCACATGGAGTTGCATTCCATTTGACAGAACATGTGCTTTGGAGGAGACCTTGGGGGCAAAGGAGTTCCACTTTCTGTCTAATTACATAAAATACTGAACAAGTAGGTGGTCTTGGTCTGTGAAAACTTTCTACAAATTTACTCATTCTAAAAACCTACACTCTAATTCTGGATTTTTTTCTGAATGTCCTTCTGAGATAAAATCTGCAATTTGACTCATTTTAAAATGAATTTTATACCTGAATTAATGCCTTTCAAATGTTTGAATTTTGTTCTTCCTGAAAACTTCCACCAAGCTAGCTGTTTCCAGTCGCTGGTGCAACATGACTTCCAGTTCTCTCGTGATCCTGGTTGCTCTTAACTTGTTCCCTTTCTTTTGAATGAATTCTCATTTTTCTGTATCTTTAAAGTATTGTGACTCCCACTGCCATAAATAATGGGCAATATATTGGAAGAACTAATTCATGAAAGAAGAAATATAAATTTCCAAAAAATATGCAAAAATGTTTAATTTCCATAGTAATCAACTGGATGCCAATTAAAGCAAGATACCATTTTTGGCATATGTGAAATTGGCAAAGATGGAAGAAACAACACAAAATTCTGGCAAGGGTGTGAGGAAGCAGGCACCTCAGTACATTGGTACACTAGAAGAAAAAAAAAAATCAGAGAAGTGCCCAAAAACTCTTGAATAAACCTGTTCGTATAGAAAAAAATGGCAATGGGGGAATGGTTAAATAGATTATGGCACAATATAGCTATTAAAAGTGTTTTAAGATAATTTAATGACATTGGGGAAATGCTTGCAATTTCTTATTAAGGATTAAAACAAGTTTTAAAAATACTTCCAGAAATGGTCTGATCAATTCTGAACCTTGCTATCTCTTCTTGGACTTTTCTATGCATCTTAGGGCACAGTGACCTTTTAAATTGCTATGTATCATATTAGAGTGCTCTAAAACCTCCAAATATTTTTCATGAGTACTGCTGTAAAGTCATGCTCTTGTCTTTTCTGAACCTAAGTGCCCTGCTTTACATTTGTTCCTATCAGATTTCATTTGGTTTTATTGAACCCATATGTTTGTGTTGTTGAATGCTTTTTTTCTTTTTATATCGTTCCATATTGAACAGCCACTCACAGCTCTGCATGATCCACAGATCCATTTGCATGACATTAATGTCCTCATCCAACATTAATGCCCTTTTATCTATCAAACATTATAGAGTATGTCCTTTTTCTTTTTTTTACTAGAGATGAAAACCACTATAATCAGCGTCACCAAAATATGTCTTGGACAAGCCATTTTAATTTGAGGTAAGACTGGCACTAAAGATGGAAAACCATTCTAAGTGAATTGAATTGTATCTGTTACACTTCTGGGGAAATGTAGGCATGTGGAGGAAAATTATTTTGGAAGATTACATAGATTTTTAAGTGACTTCATAAGCATAGAAATAGTATGTTTGCAAAGTTTTACAATGATAGATGCAAGAACTCTCAACAATGCATGGTGTAAGAGGCTGCTGGTGTACACACACTGCATATTTGTATTACTCAACAATTTTAGGCATGGGTTCAGGGGTAGTAAACCTCAACTTAATCCTGTAAAGGACCTGCAGATATTATCACCAGTTACAGCCCTTAAACAGAATGTCCAACCTATGTCATTCATCAACCAGATGCTATAGTTTTTTTTGTCCTTAAAAGGAATTTCACATTGATCTGGAAGAAGGCAAACACTGGCTGCTTCTCTTCTCTAATTATTTTGTTTTTAGAGTCTCAACTAATCTCTCTCAATGGACAAACTAAGAAAATTTATATGCTAACATGCAAAGCATTTTTCCCAAGACAGCAAATAGTTTCCTATTAGGTGAGAAAGAACTTTAGGATGTGAAATTCTGTTTGCATTAAGGGAAAAGAATTTCTAGATAGCTTAAAGAAAATAATGTGCAAAAATAGAAAGTATTAAGAGGGGAAGAAAAATGTTGGGAGCTAAAGAGAAAAAAAGTATGAAGGGCCTCTCTCCAGGGGAATATACTTTATGTCATTTTGGTATGGACAACCAAATATGGCATATTAAGTCCCTTTTCCCTGAACAAGCTCATATGCCAATGTGCATAGGGAAAGGGAGGGGTATGCAAGAGAGAAATTTGTTATTTTCAGATATGAGAACCGCCAGTTTCATTTTTTACTTTAAAAAAATCATCGCAACATTGCATAGACCTGAAGACCAAAGGGAAGTTGAAAAGGGAACTTAATTTTTGCAACATCTTACACGGGAAGGAAAGAGGCATACACACAATATTGGTTGATCAGAGGCAAGGATAGATCTATCTTATGTTAACCAAAGATCATGAAGACATTAAAAGTCATGTTACTTCTACTGTTGGTAGAGTTAAGTCACTTGAAAGTATTTCTAGCATATTAATTTGTCTTTATTTTTTTGGGTAAGGGAAATCATTTCCTCTCTTTTTGGCATTATAGGACCTAGAACAATATTCCCTAGTTTATTTTGTTTGAGGCATGGATACTGACATCCATTTAAAGAGAAATTTTTCTTAGGTGTTCTTAATAAGGATTATCAACATAATTCATCCATACAGTTGCACAAAACTGAGTAATTTTTTTTAGGCTATATGTCATCATGACTAAGAATACTATGCCAGAGACTGCTACATATTCATCAAACTCTGTTCCTTTTCCTCCCAGGCACATCAGACAACACTGCCCACCTCTACCAGGCCACGTGACTGAAACTACCCAGTGGAATATGGATGGAGTGTTGCATACTTGTGGACTTGTCCACAAAACCCTCCAACACAGAATCCTCCATACTCTTTCACCATTAGCAGGCCAAATGGAGAGGTTTCTAAGAATGCAGAGGAGGGCAAAGCTACATGATGGGAGAAGCCTGGGTCACTGAATCATCCTCAGAGACAAGCTGTTTGGAGAGGAGCATCTAAACAAACCTTATTCTCTTAAGCTACTGAAATTTTGGGGTTGTTGTTTACATCGATTAGCCTGCCCCAATGAGGTATGGACTTTGGGTCAAATTGCCTGAGCTCAAAACCTCATTTCATCACCAGCTATGCAACCTTGGACAAGCTACTTAGCCTCTATGTGCTCCTGTTTCCTTATATGTGATATGGTGACAGTAACATTACGTACCTCACAGAGTATTTGAGGATATTGAATGAGGTATACAGCCCTATAATAAACATGGCATATAAGTTATTACTACTTTATTCCCAAAGAAGACTTTCATTTTAAGATCATATCCAAATAGGGGTCACCTACAGAGCTTGGTAAAGTACTGTAAGTTGATCTGTAAAATGAGAAACTATCTACATATAATGTTCAACTTCAAGAGTGTCGAATTTTCTAGAAAGAAAATCAGGGAGGAGCGGAGGAGGAAAGGAAGGGATGTAATGAAGGAGGGAGAGAGTTAAGAATGAAGACTTTTGTATTTTAAGCAGCTTATGTACTAACCCAACTTGCTAACAGGTCTGATACAGCAAGAAAGGAAATATACCTCAGCATTAGATAGTTAATGTGGAAAAAACTCATTCTGGAAGCTGACCAACATTTTCTCGTCATTGTTCGCGATAGTAGCCTAGACCTAGCCTTTCTGCCTTGAGTACTGAGTATATTGAATATCTTCTCCCCCAACCCCAGCCTTGCTTTTTCTCTTTCAATGACAAATACTCTCTGGCTTTATTCACATGTCCTTACTTATCTTGTAAAAGCAAACCAAACTGAAATGTACCGGTAGCCCTTTGCCATTTAGTAAGCTTTATTCTAAGGCATGGTGCCTATAAATAAAGCAATTTGATGCTAGGAAAAAAAAACCTCACCAAGTGCACAACTCTGTGTGTTTACAGTCTCTTCTATAAATAGATGAAGATTACAGGTTTTTAAAGTGAATGAGCGACTACAGCAAAGATTGTGTGAACTCAGAAAAATGAGTGAAGCATAAAATATACTGTATGTAATAGAAATGGGTATTTACTCAGTAGCAATGACAACAAAGTTAAACACAAGAAAATTAGTACTTTGAAGATTTGGTAACAACGAACCATGAAATGCCCTGGTTTGTGTCCCTTTGGAGTTTCTCAGAAGATACTGTTCACTATGTAGACAAATACGTGAATATATGAAGTTGGCTATTTATTCGTTAAGATGTTCTTCACTTTTATGAAAGTGAGCTCCTATTTTTCTGAAGTCTCCAAGGCACAAACAAAAAGAAACCTATCTGTAGAGAAAGAAGAGCTTTTCTACTCCAAAAATAAATTGTGCCTATTCTGAAAAGGGGGAAAAGAGTAGAGGACTTAAAAAAACACAACTAAATGAGATTTTCTGCAAAGTTACAATGCCCAAGGACAGCCCTGATTTGATGCTTTAGCAATTTACATGGAATTTTACTCTGGTGGTTTCTCTAAGTTTCCACAGAAACAAGCAACAAAACAATATGTTATCTCTGAGTCAAAGAAACCATTTTCAGAGCCTAGTGACTATAGTTTCAAAATTCTCCACTTCTAACAGTATCATATGAGTGGACTATAAAGAAAAAACTCTTTCAGTTTTGCATGGTGATTAAGTCGTGTGGGGCATTTGGGGCTTTGATTTATCTTCCCAGAGGGTATCTGGCTCAAAGATCTTGTGTGGTACAGAGAGGATGAGAAAACAAAGGGTAGCATTTCACCAGCCTGTGCAGTTGGATAATTTCACTAATACAGGCAGCCCAACTGGTGTGAGAGATTAGGTCACGGGGTCTGGGGATATTTCGACATTAATATGTACCAGTTCCACCAATCAACCTCCATAATCAACACCTCTTAGAAGAAGAGTATCAGTGACATGATCATCTTCAATAACAAAGAAGCAAGAAACTCACTTTTACATTCTCTAAATTAGTCCTAGAATTCATGATAAAAGAATGTGGTGTAGTCTTAGCAATAAACATAGAGAACAGAGAATATGGACAATTACTGGGATATGTTCTTTCAATTATGTGAATCTTTCTGCACTTCAGTGTAGGGATTTCTCTGACCATAAGTAGAATCAACACTAATTGGAGCCTTAGGATTCCAGCCATAGACTTTTTCAGTAAGTCTTTTATGCATGTTTCCAGCTACCGTTTTGTTCTTTAAAAAAAAATAGAAGTGGAAAAAGTATTAGAGGAGACATGAGGTAAGAATTTGACTCTCAGTATTGCCATTAGTCTATTTTAGAGCTGTGGACAAGTCACTTCACTTCTATAGGTCTATTTTTTTCAAGACAGAGGGGTTGGATTGGCTAGTCTCTAAAGCCCCTTGAAGCTCTGAAAGTCTAGAATACTTAACAAAGGCTAGCACTGGCTTCTTCAGTCACTGGATCTATGAATACTATTAAAATGATGAGGTCTTGACTTTTAAAAATGCAGTTCAGGGAAAGCATCTTTATCCCCCCTCATGTCTCTGGGACTATAAATCACTTGTGCTAAGGCATGCAAACACCTGACACTGGACGACATGGTTTGTTCTTTGCATTTGACATGCCACATTAAACGCTAGATGGGTATGCTAAAAAAATAAATAAACCATCTGATTATATTATCTTGCTTATTAAAGTTAAAGCTGAGCTTACTATTAGCATCTAATTAACACCACCAGGTAAAGTGCTTAGTGTTGTCTTTTTTCTAAGGAAATAACCAGTGATTCTCTTCTGATGCCTTTATACTTCTGGAAAGGTCAGCAAAGTCTCCAATTCAGACTCTTGCTCTCACAATGGCTGATTCATTCCAAATCTTCAAAGAACCATCTCCTTATATATTTTTCTCTTCGCACAATGGTCACAGTTCTCTAACCATATAATAAAAATCATGCAAATCTGAGTTCTGCTTACGCTAAACACAGGCTGATTTTAATAAGGGGGTCAGTGTTCATTCACTTCAGTGTGAATGCAGCTTGATGTAGTGTTTTTCCACGTGACTTTGGCAGAGCTGTGATTGTCAGAGCCTACAATACAGATGGTTATACTTGCGGGTCTGATCTTTGACGACTGTGGCATCTGTGTTCTCGGTTCCAGGTTAAGCAGCTTCTCTTTCTTCAATGGGCCAGCCATTGAATATTATTTTATGTACTCTTTACAATTGGTATGTTTCATTTGGACTTTTGCTTTATTTTTTCATCAGGATTCAAAATGTAAACCAACACATTTCATTGAAGTCTAAAATAGGTTTTCTGTGATTCATACACATCACTGAAAAATATAGGATTACATGTATGCATTTAAACATACACAACACACACACACACACACACACATGGACTCTGTGCATATATACAAACATCCTTGGTTTTTCTTTGATAGGTTTGATAGCAAGGTAAAACATAGTCTAGAAGGTTTATAATTTCCATTACCATAACAATAGAAATCATTACTACTTATCACTATGCTAACTTAGAAAGGATTCAAACGTTCATATTAAAACCCTTTTTAAAATTTCCTTGCTTTCTTCTAAATTCTGCATAATTAAAAATAATATTTACTCTATTATTTCTAGCTTGCATGCTTTTACGCTGATTTCAGCAAATTGTGGCCATTTTCAATAGTCCATTTGTCTAGAGCATTGGATGGAATTGAAACGTGTTTGTTTTTTACAGATGTTAACTCCTGGAATACATATACATCAGTGAGAGAGAGTTCAGTTGAATTTTTCAATGTTTAGCTGCTGGATGAAGCCTTTCAGTTGACTAGAACTAGTGGAAATGGCCAGAAATTTGTGTGACAATTTTGAATTGCTCCTTTGTCGTTCTCTTCTCTATCAGTAACTCTTGGATGAAAAGTTTCTCAATATGAGAGAAATTAGACTTTGTATTTCCACTGGAATTAGGAAGCTGAGGGCAAAAAATACAGAACATGGAAACAGAGAACATTAAGACTGCAGAGAAAAATAAGCTATGTGATTCTATCCAAATTCTGATTACACTGGAAATCATCCAATTAGGTCTTCAAATTGAGAATAATGGTTTTTGTTTCCCACTTTTAGAAAAAAAGAGATGAGAGACAATGACAATAAAAAGTGGGATTGAGGTTTAGTTAAGAAAAAAAAGGGGGGAAGGGAGGGGAGGGAGGAGAGGAAAGGAGAGGAGAGGCCACCCCTACCCCTCCAGAGGAAACACTGCCTGCTACAAACAACTCCTGCCACAGAGCGCTGTGGCCACTACAAAGTCTCCTGCTAAGTCTTCTTCATAGAGAGACAGGAGAGCAGGCAAGTGCTGAAAGTTTCTTTTTGGTAGGGACTGAAACAAATAGGTTTACCCCTGCATTTACCAGAAAACTAAATAAATTGTGTCATTCCCTGAATCATTCTGAGAATCACATGTTCCTTTATATTTAAAAGTGGAACTTCTATATCACAACAGGGGGTTAAACAGTCTGTATAACAATTTTAACGTTTGCATCTGTTTATTTTTCTTTGCGTGGGCAATTCTATCCATCATTAGCTCAAAAAATCTTGACATACACAGAATTAAAAACCATATGAGGAAACAACAGAAGAATAACAACAGTAACAGTTCCACCGTGGTGTTTGGTCATTTTCATGGATGTATTGGTGTTATTAAAATGGCAGCAGAGAGCAGCAAAGAGGCTTTGGTCCAAGATGGCTCATTTAATGAGAACTAATCATGGGACCTAGCATGGTAAAGACCTCTTAAGGTGAAATGTATCATCACTCTCATCCTCCAAATCATTCTCTGTAAGTTAAGCTTGGCTGCATCTTTTGAATAATTTGCAAGGATATTTTTGATCTCTCAGCAACTCTCTCAGCAAATCAGTCCTCTAATATTTAATGAACAATGACTATATGGAGAACAATGTCATCTCAAGATGGGGACAGGAGACTGTATTTCTCTGCGTTCATTCCCTCCTGTTGTCCTGCTTCCTCATTTTTCTCTACCTAAAAAGAGTCATTTAAAAAAAAAATCAAAAGTACTTACGTTCACAGGAGTCCTAGTGTATGGCCAAGACCATCCTTGTGATACTTTTTGCATATCCTGATGTATTATATTTGGCACTGAAATCAATTGGTTACTAGTCTACATAAATGCTATTCTATACAAATATTAGCAAAGGGAAGATCTGGAATATATCAAAGCAATTAACAAATTACAGCTTATCTGCTAAGGAGATGTCAGAATGTGCAGGCAATAGCCCAATGGATGGTCACAGGCATCACATGAGACAGCATATGTATG